CCTGATTTTCTCCCTACTGTTTCCTCACCTACCGGATCGTGTTGTCTGCACAGGGAAAGAACTGTTCGTGACATCTCTGATATTTCAAGCACACCACAAAAGAAAAGATTTGGTTTGGCATGATGTTTACGTTGACATGAGTTACACACATTACGGGTTAAAGTGTTTAGGAAATGGATGGATGGATGGACTTTTCTGTGCCGCCAGGAAACATACGTCTCATGAGCATGATGAATACCACAAATATACGTGATCAGTATCTTGCATTCCAGCCTCATAATCAATGTGATTGAAATGAGAAATAATATAATTATATTTCTTTGAATATTGTTACTGTGTTAAATGGTCTCTTACAAGCAGGAAAGTAAAGCCCTTTGGATATCAGAGATCTCAGATGTAAGCAGTATCTCTCTCTCCAGCCTCACACTCAAAATTATTGAAAAGAGAGAAAATTTAATCACACTTGTTTGAATACTGTGACTGTATCAATTGATCTTTTACAGTTTTTAAATAAACTTTTTAAAATCCAGAAAACCCCAAACTGCTACCAAGCAGGTACCCCAAAAAGTACATGGCTTTTTAATAATGCTAACAGAGGCCAAAGGAGAGATATGCTACCTTCTAAACTAAATACAGCCTATGCTTGAATCTCTCACACTACAAACCAGATGCCACAGAATAAATGTGAGCCTATCTCCCTATTGTAAAATGCACCCGATAAGCAGGAAAGGCAGTTTTAAACTGAGGGATGTTTCACTCAGGAACTCCAAGTTTCCTAAAAGCCACAGAATAGCAAGCTCTCTTAGCAAGATTCAGATACTGAGCTCAAATCAGGACTTTTCAGATGATCTTGAAGTAGGGATTCTTTCCTGGCACAAGTTTCAAGTTCTGTCTATTCCTGTTCTCTTTCTTCTGGTGTCCTATTTTATCCTTTTCATCTTTTCTGTCCTTCTTTTGATTGGATCTTATATGGTGTCATTCTGGACTTTTAATTGACACTTTACTTATTTACTCAGAACATAAGGTAAACCAAGGTAAACTTTAGGACTGCTGTGATCAAAGAATCTGGATGCTCTACGTCTCAGCAAACATCCCCCCTGCTTTGAAGCTGGAAATGTTTACACTGCCAAGTGTTACACACTTTATCTAGATTCTTAGATACCTCCAGTGTAGACAACCTCAGTCTCTAACAATATTTACAAAAAAACATGAATGCAAATTGTATTTATTTTAACACAAACAATTTTAATATATGTCATAATATGTCAAGGATGATGAGCCCTAAATGCAGTTTTGTAGCTGACTGACTGCACCACCAGGCACCTTGAAGGGTACAAAGACCCCTTTACCCCTGTAACAGGCCCTTAAAGGCTGTTGCCTATCTGTCACTGAGAACACTGCTGTGAGAAATGCTGTTTTGTTTTTCTCTGTTTCTAATTCAAAAATGGGATGTTACACCTCCTGGTCCCTATCCAACCACCTGCCAAATCTTCCCACACTTGTTGAGCCCCAGACAGTGCAGAATTCTCCTGCTGTAGGAGTCCCAGTCATCTGGAGAAGCAGAGTTCTCTGCTGTCTGGGAATTGGTAGTGAGCTCTGAGCCCTCAACTGACATGATCTCATCTAGGCAGGGAAAAAACTGCTCTCAATGCAGTTACTTCATATTGGTTGAACTCAAGGGTTACTAAAAAATAAAAACATAAACAGTACGTCGCAAGTGACAACAGTTGAAGAAAGGCAAAGGCTCAGGAGATTAATTGAGTTTGTACACAGTATATACTGGCCAGTTATTTTGTCAGTCCAGGGCTGTTTGTCTTTCTCCAGCCTGTCTGTTTCCTCTTCCCAATCAAAGTCTTCAAAAGTAAAAATTGGGGCAGGTGATGATTAAAAAATGTGTTACTGAGGGACGTACTGATCCACTCCAGCTGTGGTAGGTCTGCAGTTGTTCTCTGCTTCAGTTTTCTGTAATTCCTGTTGATGAGCCAGAGCAACAGTTTTTCTATGGGTGTGTAACACTGTATGATCACAAGACCACTCTAACAGTAATAATCTCCTGCATCTTCAGCCTGGACTCCTGTGATGGTCAGAGTGATGTCAGTCCCAGATGCCTGCCTCCCACTGAAATGCTCATATACAGTATATATTAAAAACAAAAAATTAAAAACCTTGTATTAATTAATTTGCTACTTGCCACGAGTACAGTCAACACGTGTCCCTATGAAGAAACTGATAAAAGTTATTGTTGCTGTTGGTTCTATTGCAATGAAGGAGAGCTCTCGGGCATGAAGTGTTGAACTCACAGAGCTATAAACACTCCCAGAGCACTGAAGCATGTGCTGCCAATGCAAAGTGTCATCCTTAATTAATTAACCAAGCTGAGCTGTAAACATGTTTATGCACTGAGGTCTGTGAAGAAATGTGTGCTGGAACATGGTTCTGCCTCATTATGCACAATAAACTCAATTTCATAGCAGAGACATTCCAGGAGTTCCTTATGTCAACAAACCTGAGGGCTCAGTTTACCTCATGTTTTCCTGCAGATGTAGTTCTTGATATCTGATGGCATTCAGTTTGTGATCTTGTTGTATTCTAATGACATGTGATAGTTACAGTACATAGATATTTTGCTCATTGTTTTGGTTAGTGCTGCCTATCAGGCAACACCAAGTTAAATTATTAAATGTATTGTAGTTTTACAGTAACTCCAGTAGAGGTCACTGTTGCAAACTAGACATACACTGACTTTCAGTACTTTGTCTCCCCTTCTCTCACACTTAGAGTGGCTCATCTTAGTCAACAAACAATGATACAAAATAAACTTCAGATCCACACACAGATCACATTTCTAATTTTATGGGTTATATACTGATAAGTATCAAATTTAGTATTGTATATTGATCTATTTATGTATATTTACTCTATATAGATATACTGTAGTGTATTACATTGTAGTCAATGATTAAATTTATTTGCAAAAAAGGATTAATGGTGTACTGGGGATGTGAATACAGTTTGCACTGATTGACAACTGTTAGATGTTTGAAGGCCACATTGTCTCACAAATACCTGAAAGCAAGCTATTTGTAGGTAGAAAGGATTACAGTATTTAGATACAGTATACTCTTCTGATACAGTTTACATTTAAAATCTAAAACCTCATTGTTTAAACCAGTCATCTACAGTTTCCATTGCATGTGAAGCATCCTGGAAACACTCCTGCAGTCAAACTACATCTGTGGTACCAGTCACACATTTCAGATACTGAATAAGAAGTTTAAACACTGCAGAAGGAACTAAACAAGCAAAAGGCCACAAAGAGATTGAACTGACACCAGCAGGGTTCAGGGAGCTGTGTACCTGGTTTGTCAGAGAAACACAGAGACACAGTCTTATAGGAGCTGGACCCAGGTGGTGAAAAGAAATCCATTTTGACTCTCCCAACTGAGCAATTCCTCCCAACAACAGAACAACTGACAGATTTTCCCCCAGTCTTCTCTCTAAGATGAGATGTGTATCAAAAATCAATTTGATATTTCTGGAGCACAGATATGTATTTCTACAATGTGAACCACTATACAGAGTCCCGATCTCAGTCCCCTCTAAACTCTCAGAGCCCCAGGTCAGCACAGCTGCAGGGAGAGGTCCCAGTCAGAGCCCAGGAACTAGGAATCCTCAGGGAGCTCAGGATTGAGGATCTCCAGGCATCGGAATAGAATCAGGATGCCTGACTCCCTAAGAAGGAATAAAAAGGCTTTGCTGGGAAGAGGGAAAAAAAGTAACCTAGACAGCCCAAGAGAAAGGGGTGAGGAAAAGAAAAGAGTCTGATATAATAACAGAGGCTGGCCAGAGCTATACTCAGACTATAAAAACATCCTGCAAAACTGCTGGGATTCAGAGCACCACGGGGATACTCCTTGTGTGTGTCTTTGGTGTTCTCCGGAAATGTCCTTTTTTGATTTGAATAAAAACCCATTTCAAACCATCGCTGATCTGTGTTGTACTGTAACTTGTTGCATCTCTGCGGAGTGTATGGCATAAGAACTTATTCTAGTATAACTGTGAAACTTAAAAATGACAAAGATTTACATTTCTTTTCCAATTCTCTTTCATAATCTAAGATTAATGATTTAAAAAAAAATTAAACTAATGTCATTGCATTTCCTCCAGCACCAGCACATACAAACTCCACACAGACTGCACACCAGATTCAGAATTGAACCCAGGGCACCAGCACTGCAAGGCACAATAGTAACCAATGTGTCATCATGCTGCCATATCTATAAACTTAGATACATTAGACTTTTATGTGTAAAAATGTAACATAACAAATATCTACATGTACTTACAAATTGATTGAAACATAATATACTGTAGATTTGTACATTATGTACAAACCCAGTGTTGTTCAGTTCTGTAGCACTTCTGCTGTTCTTCTGTCTAAGACCTGCTGATGAGCCAGAGCAATTCCTGTAGAGCTGAGGGAGGTTTTTGTACAGACGTGTATCACTGTGTGAGAGGGGTGCTGTAGCACTGCTGACAGTAATAATCTCCTGCATCTTCAGCCTGGACTCCAGTGATTGTCAGTGTAAAGGCTGTTCCAGACCCACTGCCAGTGAATCGATCTGGAACCCCAGACTGACGGGTTGTTGCGTAACAAACCAGGAGCTGTGGAGAATGACCAGGTTTCTGCAGGTACCAGTTCAAGTAGCTGGTAATACCACTAATAAGAGAGCTGCTGGCTGTACAGCTGATAGAGACAGAGCTTCCTGGGAGAACAGACTGAGCTGGAGACTGAGTAAGAACAATCTGACGACTGGACTCTATAGAGGGAATAGTTATAGATAGATTATTAATAAATTATCATTATACATATTTATGTATTCTTTTACATGAGAAAAAAATAATTGCTATAACTGTCATTAAAAGTACATTTTATTTTATCACAATATTCAGAATAAATCACAGAATCACAGAATGCAAAAATCATCTTTAATCCTCACCTTGAGCAAAGAGCCCCAGTGTCCCCAGCAGCAGAATCAGTGGCATCATTGTCCTGTGTGTGTCAGTGACTCTGAAAGGGCTGAACAGTGACTGATCCACACTGTGAGTCTTAAAGTGTTTGGAGCAGTGAGGCAGCACAGGTATGGAAAGCTCCTTCCTGTATACAAATCATAGTCACAGACAGTTTGATGAGGTCTGAGCTGTGAAAACAGATGGAGTTTTTATAGGAGTCTGTCTTTGAATTTCCTCTGTTCTACCCCATTCAAAGAGTAAGCTCAACACTTGTGGAGCTCTTGAGTTTTGTGGAATATCACAACTGAATTATTTGTATGATATTATAAATGTTAATTATATGATAAATTATAAATCTAGTGATTTTTATATGTTAGAATAATTAATATAAATACTGAGACAGCCTCTATGCTGTCACATTTTTATTGATTTCTATCCGTCCATTTTCTAACTGCTTCATCCAATACAGGGTTATGGGGAGCCAGAGCCTTTCCCAGCAGGACATGGCCATAGGACAGGATACACCCTGGACGGGACACCAGTCCACTGCAGGACTAACACCCCCAATTTCCCAGAAACCAATTAACGTACCAGTATGTTTTTGACCTGTGGGGAAAAGCAGACCTCCCGGAGGAAGCCTATAAAAACACAGAGCGAACATAGTGTAGCGCCTTCGCCATGCGCTGCGACTGAAGAGCGCCAGGCTGGAGTATGTAGTGAGGGGTAGGATGGGAGTAGTAGTGGTCAGGACATGGACTAGAAAGGACCAGTGCAGCTGACCAATTGCAAAACGGGCGTACAGTTTGGTGAGATCGCCTGGATTCACACCCCTGTTATACTTGTACCCAATTGCTACCCTATCCCTGTGTAACTACTCGAATAGACCCCAGCGTGTTGCTCTCTCTGGCGCTCCTTCATTTTCTCTCACTCTCTTTCTGCTGGCGCACTAGCGCGGGTGTTGTGCTGGCTGTGTGATAAAATAAAAGCAACGTTTTTCAGTCAGTGTCCGAATCACTGTGTCCCACCTCACCGAACCCAAAAATACTACAATACAAACTCCAGGCTGTCAGAACCCCAGCTCCTGAATTGAACCCTGGGCCTCAGCACTACTGGGCACAAAGGCCAAACACTTCACCACTGTTCTGCCCTCGTTCACTTGTTTTTGAAATTTCAGTACAGCTAATGCTGAGCAGCTTCAGCATTGCAAAGTTGTTGCAATGGAGGAACAAAGAACTGTCCTCATGGCTTCTGTCATGTAGAGTAGCATGATACTCACTTAATGTACTTAGTTGTATATGTTTTTTTTGGTGGGGTTTACACTGGTGAACGTGGTGGGTGTCCCCAGAGTTATAGAGAGCTAACTCTGAAGTGAAGGCTTGAAGGGGATGTGGATTAGCTCAATCTTGGAGAGGCTGAGTGGGAGATGGTGGTCAGTCATTATGGAGGAGATGTCTGCTGGACAAGTTGTGATGTGGAAGGAGATATGTGGTTTAGAGGGTGACTGAGGGCTGCCTTGACACCCTTCCCTCCTCTCCTGTGTGTTCAACTGGACTCAGTGTCAGGGTCAGACATGAGATAAAGAAGCTTCTGTCTGTATGTCATAAAAACATTTCAAACTTATTTTGATTTTTCAAAGATGAATATACTCATATTTAGTTAACTCTAGATAAATATTTTCAAAGAATTTATACACAAATATTTTCAAAGAATTTATACACAAATATTTTCAAAGAATGTAATTAGAGATGTTCATTTTATTTTTGTGTATTATTTTGCATTTTTCATCACCTTTAGTCATAGGAAAAATTGTTCCTTATAAGTTCCAACTCATGTACAGCTACATCATTGTTGAGCTTGGTGCAGCTACAGTAACATTGTTAATGAAGTTCTGTGTTTATCTCAGGTCAGTTCTTCCACCGGCTGGGTCCTGTGCCTTTGTCTTCACCCTCAGCACCTGCATGAAGTCCCAGCTGCGGTAGTGTAGTCACTGTGCAGTCCTGCTGAGGGAGGTTTTTGTATGGCTGTGGAACACTGTGTGTGTGGCCAGTAACTGTTGATGTTGTGTAAACTTTGACAGTAATAATCTGCTGCATCTTCAGTCCGGACTCCTTTGATGGTTAGAGTGAAGTCAGTCCCAGATCCACTGCCACTGAACCAACTCTGGGTCACAGAGTTTAGTTTATTTACTAGATAAATCAGAAGTCTAGGAGCTCCTTCAGATTTTTGATGGTACCAGGCTATGTGATAACCATTGTTGTCACTGTAAACTGGACTGCTGGTCTTACAGCTCACAGTGAGTGTCTGTCCTTGAAGAACTGATCTCACTGATGGACTCTGAGTCACAGTAACCTGTCCACTGCACTCTGAAAGGAACAAGACGGAACAAGAAATACTGAAAGTTATACTAGAATATTGTTTAAACATGTAGTACAATATTTGTTTACATACAGTATATCTGTTACAAAATCTTTCTGTTGTATATCATTCTTACCTTGAAAGCAGAGAAAGAGAATAGTGACAAAAATGATGGTAACAGTCATTGTTGCTGTGGGTTCTGTTGCCATCAAGGGCAGCTCTCAGTCATGAAGTGTTAAACTCACAGGGCTATAAACACTCCCAGAGCATGTGCTGCCAATGCAAAGTGTCTCTTCTTTGCAAATTGGTTTCTTTGAATCAGGGACACATAAAGAAAATATTTTATCTTTGAATGGAGTAAGATAAGTGTAGCGGCAAGGCTTATTAAAATACAGGAATTAAGTTTGCTGTTCCCTTGCCAGTCTCTCTCTTCCTCATCTCAAGTGGTGCTGGATACAGAGAAGCCATTCCATTTGGTTCACATTTAAGGTGTTTTTCTAGCTGATAGAGCTTCCTGATAAGGAACAACTCCAAAGGCTGTATTCACCAGCCACCCTAATAAATGGTCATCTCTGGCACCTTACTGTCTGGGAGATTCCAAGGGAGAGTCTCATCCCAAGTTGTTTACAACCCCAAGGTCAGAGAGCATGGTTACTCATCCTCCACCTAGATCAGCCAATCAGAATCTGGTAGGACAGGGTAACCCCTCGTGGGTCTTGAATGCCCTCGGAACTTTCAACCAATGAACGACCATAGTTCCTCCAGGTAAAACAGGCAGCTCAGGACTCCTCAAGTGCTCCTCCTGCTCCTCAGCTCGGACAATCACGTAATAATAATAATAATAATAATAATAATAATAATAATAATAATAATAATAATAATAATAATTGCTTACACTTATATAGC